TTCCTTTTGCTCTGTGATGCTGCAGGTGGTTTGGAAATTTGTAACACGAATACAGTGTGAAGAAAAATTTGCTTTTCGCGACCAAGTACGTTTGAGAGTGCAATAAATAAAATGCATGACATGATCGTCATTTTAAGTGTTGCCATTGCTTGAATTTTCATACATACATACGCAACACACCTAAACTCCCCGCCTGCCACCCAGAAGGAAGGCGGAGACTAAGGACTTGCATTTGGAACCATCCTTACGTCCTTACATACCTCTTTTTTTTTACATCCATATATATACACTCGTATCTACGTATGCATTCATGCTCGTCGGTAAAGGTTTCTCCTAATTCCGCCCATCATCAATATCTCGCTAATTTTTCATCGTGAATTTATATTTACTTACGAGTATACTTGTTAAGCTATTTTCTTTTTCTTTTATTGTACTGAGATAACAAACACTACATACAAATTGCAAGCACTGTTTGATGTTAGTAACTGATCGCAGGATCAAAATAAATCTATCAGCGAATAAACGTAAAAGCTTTTAAATGATAGTACATTTTGCACTAAAATAAAAAAATTTACATTTCAGCAATGTCCGAAACTTAAACCACACGTCCAAAATATAAATTGATGCTGTATGTTCAAAAACAATAAAATAACTACAATATTTACTTCGGGCTTTTCCCCAATTTTAATTGTTATATGTGCATTCGCATTTTCCAGGCGAGTTTTAATTATCGGGAGTCGCGCGCGCCTGAATTACGCGACCGCCTCTGATATTTATGGCGGGCCTCCGCCATTCCGATACACTTTTTAATGTAATGAGCGCTCGATGCCACTCGGGGCGGTTACATAGCAGTGTTTACTTTTTATACTAATTTATAGTCATATTTTATTTTCAAATATTAAATACATGAAGATAAAACATTCAACAACAACAACACATCAGCGATTTCTTAAATTTACACAGACACTACACATTGAATAAAACTACTTACGGATTTTATCACGTCTAATTTACTTCATTTTAATTAAGTTAGTATAGGACATGAAGTCTGCAGTTTGTAATCATATTCTAGACGGCCACCGTCATTACATCAGATTTGATAGACCACAAATCCTCGCGAAAGAACATCGGTTCCTACCAAGGGTGATAGGTGAGGCTATTGAAATTAAAAAATATACTTTTTTTACGTGGTAGAGCCATGCTGCAGATATTAGTAGTATAGTTGTAGCACGAATGAGTCGGCTCGTCCGGGGTAGGACCACGCTCTGACAGAACACTAGCGTAAAATAGCAGCTTAACACTGCTGTGTTTCGTATGGTGAGTGTAAAGAACCGGAGGCCCTTTTTACTGGAAAAGAGGCATTCCATCTTAGTCCTCACGGGTGACAACGCATCTGCATTTTGATTCGCAAACGAGGATAGAAGATAGATAGATCTATGGGCAACAGCAACCACTTACCATCGGTGGACTATGTGCTCGTTTGTTACCCTATCATATAAAAAAAATCAATAGAGAAGGAGGTTGGGTTAGTAAAATTAAAATTAAACCCAAGCATATCACTGCAAGACTTCAAGACACAGTAAGTTCATTTTGCGTAGATCGGACCAAAATTAATAATTAAAAATCTGAAGGTACTCCAAAAGGTACGTACTCCTTAACTCTGACATGGAGACGTCAACCACCTCAGTCCGCCGATACCATGGGTGCTGGAAAGCACCCATGATACACACGTCGGGTGCTTTCCAGCATTTAATTAATTAATATTAAGTAAATTAAACGCCATAAATCCGTAAAAGTAGTTTTATTTAAATTAGTACTTTTTAGTAATTTAGTAATTTTTAAGTAATTTTAGTAACTTAGCAAATTAGTACTCATTAAATTATTAAACAAATTTTGAAAAGTGGATCTATAATCAACGAATATTGGTAAATCATTACTTGCTACAGTAAAATAAAAGCAAAATCCAAATAAATAAAACTAATAATTTATAGGTATACAAATTGCCATTGTAAATTATAGAAAACTCAAAGTCATGAATATCTTTATACGTCACGCTTTGATTTTAATAATTCAGAACCCGAAACGAACTTTGTGTTATACGAAAAGAGAAATTCGTAATGCTAGGTTGCTAGGAGCTACTTCTTCAAGAATATTAAATAATCGAAGCCGCGTCGCCGGCGAGTCACTTGCAAGTTTGATACGTGATCAGTTCTGGCCCTGCGGCGCCGCTCTCCTATCAGAATCACATTAAACATTCACCATCACACGTCACCCGACCAACTTTCATAAAAACGAGGACCTATTATGAAATTGTGTGCATTAACCGAGAAACGTCTGGTGTTTTTTTCAGCTCACGTCAACCGACGCCAAATTACGAGACATTAATTGGACTACGAAAATGCAGTGACGTATGGTGAAAAAAAAATAGCATTTTCTGAACCGATAGAGTAAAATGTTGATCTAAATACTCAAAATTGTATATGTATTTGTTTGAGCTAGCTTCGTTCGTTACTGCTGTCAGGATGTGAATGGAACTTTTATGTGTACTTAACCCTTAACACTTATGTTGACATGCCTTTCCTCTATAAACAATCAGAAATTATAACTTTACACATACATAAAGTAATTAATTATTTTTAAATATAAAAATACAATCTTAAGTCGTTAGAAGCCATACCATTTTTTATAGAATAAGGGTAACAAACGCGCACACAATCCACGTGATGGTAAGTGGTTGCTGTGGCTCATAGACATCTACATCTATCCTTGATTACGAATCAAAATGCAGATGCGTCGTGGAATAACTGATTTCGAGATTTTGTTACAGGATCAGGGTGACAAACGAGCACACAACCCATCTGTGGTAAGTAATTGCTGTGGCTCGTAGACATCTACATCTATCTTCGGTTAAGAATGAAAATGCAGATGTGTCGTCACCCGTGAGAACTAAGATGGAATGCCTCGTTTCCAGTAAAAAGGGTCTCCGGTTCTCCACACTCACCATACGAAACAGCAGCAGCAGCGTTAAGCTGCTATTTTACGCTGGTATTCTGTGAGAACGTGGTCCGTCCCCGGTCGAGCCGACCAATTCGTGCTACAACTATACCAATAATATAGCTGCAGCATGGCTCTACCACGTATAATATGATATCATTCAAATTATTTAGAAATGCAATGAAAACTTACTAATATGTCTACTTCCTTTCTGCCTACGAGTCCGTCTGAGTAAGTCCTCTTCCTAATCCTCTTACCTATGTATTTCTGCCGCCTAAAAGAAGTGCCTGTACTGCTGAGTTGCAGTCTTAAGGATATAGAAAGCCAATATTATGTCAGGCTGCGAGGTATTCTATCTTAGTCTTCATATTTGGAAATGCATCTGTTTATTTGAAGTTGGTTGCAGAGGTACCCATGGGCTACAGCAACCGCTTATCATCAGTTAAGAGTGTAAGTTCATTTGTCACTTCAGATTTATAAAAAAAAAACAACCTATAATCCTACGTTTAAGCATAGATAGCAAGTAGTAGCGTTATTTCCATTAAAAAAATTGTAACAGACTTTAATTGATGTTGTTAAAATAATTAATAAGGAAATTAAAAACTGTACTTTTTAACTTTAACTTCCCGCTATGAAAATCATTGATTTCCAACGAAGTTATTGGTTTAACCCCGGTTTTCCCTTTTTTTTATTTCTTATAAGCCAGTGCTTGACCACAATCCCACCTGGTGGTAAGTGGTGATGCATCCTTAGATGGTAAATCGCACTGTCTTATCGTAACAAAAGCCTATTCACTTTTGCCTTGAAGACGCCCAGATTGTATTCGGACGGAAAGATAGACGCCGGCAAATTATTTCACTCTTTTGCTGTACGCATTACAAAAGACGTAGCGAACCGTTTGGCTCTAATGCGTGGAATATCAACAACAAAGGGATGAAGACCCGCCGACCGTCTGGTTGTCCGATGGTGGAAAGGAGAGGGGGGAATTAAGGCGTGTAATTCCTGCGCACACTCACCGAAATGCATCCTATAGAATACCGAGAGACTGGCTACTCTGCGGCTGTGCTCGAGGCTGAAAAGATTGGTTTCAACCAAATCAAGGTCACCAATGAGCCTCTTAGCACGTCTCTCCACTGAGTCCAATGCTGCCAGGTGGCATTTTGCAGCACCAGCCCATATGTGACAGCAGTACTCCATGCACGACCGGACTTGCGCTTTATATAAGGTAAGAAGCTGCCCCGGCGTGAAGTACCGCCGCACCCTTGCAAGGAAACCAAGTTTCCTTCCCTAGGAAGCTATTTTTACTATTCCTACGAGGATATCCCTCGTATGTGTGTGAATTTGTGTGCGTGCGTGCGTGCGTGTGTGGGTGCGTGCGTGCGTGCTTGCGTGCGTGCGTGTGTGTGTGTGTGTGTGTGTGTGTGTGTGTGTGTGTGTGTGCGTGTGTGTGTGTGTGTGTGTGTGTGCATGTAAACTCCTTACAACTTTTTAACGGCGTAATCGATCTTAAAGCGGTTCACGGCATTCGAAAAAGTTCTATTGCCATTAGATTTCATGTCAATTTGAATCGATTCGGCTGGATAGATTTTGAGAAATGCCAAAAATTAATATTTCAATAAAATAATTTTTTTCTACATAACTTTTAAACTAATAATATCAAATTATTCCAAAATCTAATCAGCTCTTAACCTCAAAAAATCAACATCAATTGCCGCAAACCGTATGCATCAAAATCGGTTCATTCGTTCAAGTGAAATCGTTATTGAAAAATTTGAATTTTTAAGACCTTCCACTCGAGCTCGAAGAGCTCAAAAACGTCATTTTAGGTGGAATTTGGGTCGCTTTGCATTTGAAATTAGCGGAAAGTTGCAGGGACGGCCTGTAGGGACAACCGTATTTTTTATCGACGTTATTATGCTAAACAGATTAACTCGTTGCGTCCATTAAAATATGATAATCGGTAATGTGAATTAAACTTTTGTATAACAATTAGTATAGGAACATACCTGCACCCTCGCTTCCGTGAGGTCGATCTTCATCGCGATTTCCTCTCTCGTGTAGATGTCTGGGTAATGCGTCTCCTGGAACGCTCGCTCTAGCTCCTTTAATTGTGCGGACGTGAACGTGGTCCTGATACGCCGCTGCTTTCTTTTCTCCGTTAAAGAGCCTTCGTTGCCGCCGTACATCTTGTATGGAAGACCAGCTGTGGAAAATAATTCGTGAATTAAATTAGAGTTGATAAAAAGATTAGGTGGTTGACTCCTTTCCTGTCTAGAAGTCCATCTGGGTGGGCACCACTCTCTTACTTATTCCTGCCGAAAAATGGCGCTGTATATAACACTGTGGTGTAGAGAGCCAGTGTAGTTGCAGCCTGTGAGGTATTTTATCTTGTTTTAAATTGGCTACAGGTGTCCTGGACTGCAGTAGCGACATACTTATCAGGTGGCTGCATCTTCGTTTGCTACTTCAATTTTATAAAGAAAAAAATATTGGTACCGTGACTTTATACTACGTAGTACATAATGAGGGCTAATAATTTTCTACTCACCAGATATCGCTAGTTGACACTGAGTTAAAGTTTTTGGTTACACAATGTCATTTAATTGAGAAGTCAGTTAATAAAAGTTTATCAGTTTCCAAAGCATTATATTAATACACAAAACAATGAGAAAGTGGTTTGTTCTTTAATTTTTTTCACATTTTAACTTTTTTCAAATATTTCGACTTTTATGAATATCTGTGGTTTGGTTTATTTATTTTTAATTTTATTAATACAAAATTTAGCTAATAGTACAGAAAGAAATATTAAACTTTACATTTTCCGAACAAATTAATTTCCCCTATATGAAAACTGTCAAATATTATACCTCACTTTTAAGTGGCGCCGCCCTGGTGGCAGAAAAAGTGGATCATCATTCTTTAATCTTTAATCTTTAATTTAAAACTAAATTTACCTACATTAGCGACGAGGATCAACATCAAAGGTGCGAAGGATTTGGTAAGGCTATAATTAATATACATGATGTGTATGATCACTCACTACAGTCTTGTTTGACATTTTAATGTAAGAAAGAACTGAAACTCCCAGACAAATAGCACCATATAAACTGTAGGATCTTAAAGACTTCTTTTGAAAAGTCCTGAAGTTCAACAAATTCCAAGAGGGTTATTTACGCAATCTGACAATATCTGTATTCTGTTCAAGCTCTTTCATGCTTATAGTAAAAAGAAGCTCAAAAATCAAAAAGAAAAATAAGTTGTTATATGATTTTTTTTTTAATATAAGACGAGGCAAACGATCATGCGGCTCATCTGATAGTAAGTGACTAACACCGCCCATGAACAACTGCAGCACCAGGGAAATTGCAGGTGCTACCGGTCCTTTAAAAAAGAGTGAGCTCTTTTCTTGAAGGTCCCTAAGCCGTATCGGTCCGGAAAAAAAAGCATTTTTCTTTCTCTTGTATTTGAATATGAACAAGTACTTTATGTACAAGTATCTTAGCAGATTACGTAGTTAACTTATTTTTAGAATCTATCAAAAATACACACCAGTGATAAATTTAAGAACAAAGAAAGGGTAAACCGAAAAGCCAACATCACGTACACGCGGTGTACGAATGAGAGATGAACCTCTGGCGAAAAACTGGTTGTGACCGGCACGTGGTGACAAGTCCAAGAAACAAGGAAGGATCAAGCTAGCAATAAAACTAAAATATTATTGATGTTCATATTAAATTATTACCAGAAGAAATTAAAAACTACGAATTTTAAATCAAATTAAGTTTTAAATTCGATTTTACATCATATTGATAGACGAATTTATAAACCAGTTTATGGAATTTAAAATCAATTAAATAGTACCTATTTTAGTTTAATCAGCTAAAGACATTTTGTAATAAAAAAATCCTAAATTTTAAATAATCTAAACTAACTTTTACTCGATTGAAGTCATAAACAACAGTCACTCTTCTCCACAGAGTTAGTCAGTCATTTATTGTACAAGGTATATGATATTATACAACAATGTCCCAGAAAATATACACGGTGTACATCAAACTAATTTTTTTAACTAAACGAAGACTTTATAACAAGGATATCATAATATTATAAATGACGACATGGGTGAAAACAAACCCTGGGAATGAGGTGATCGCTTCCAAGCTGTTTCTTAAATGATTATTGTAAATAATCGTAAAACTTATTTTATGTTGAGTTTATTGTTAGTGTGGAAGTCTTGATAGATTTCTTACTGGTACGTTCCGCGACATAATTTTTTCTCGAAACATTGATAAAAGTAAAAAGTTACTTTCATTAACAATCATTTGTAATCTATATTGAATAAAAATATTCTAATCTATTCCAAATATATAGCTAAAATAACACCAACATGAAATATTGAATGAAGTAAGACGGAGGTTGCTCAAACCCGCCATTTTTGTTTCCCTTCTGGTATGTCGCACCCTCGCCCGCGTTACCTACCTACAAGCCTGCAATGAAATGAATTTTATACCTACGCCTCTTTTGTTTATTTTCGTGTGTACACAAAGTCGTTTTAATTAGCAGAATTTTGTTCATGAACGAAATTCATAATGTTTAACCGTTTTATTTCGCGTTTGTTTTAGGTAAAAAATATTTGACACGAGAACACGATTTTATAGGGCTTTTAATTTGTTGTATTATTATTAATATTACGATTGGAAGTAGGTGGAGTCTTCTGATTGGAATGTATAAATACTTACAAAATATGTATAATAAAACTAAAATAAATTATATACCTATTATTTATTATACAAAATAAAACATAACTAAATAAATATTAATAATAACTATTATTGTTTTAATGTATTCAGTACATACTTTAAAAAAAAATTATAGTAAAAGGGTGACAAACGAGCACACAATCCACCTGATGGTAAGTGCTTTCTGTGGCCCATAGACATCTATATCTATCCTCGATTACGAATCAAAATGCAGATGCGTTGTCACCCATGAGGACTAAGATTGAATGCCTCGTTTTCAGTATAAAGGGTCACCGGTTCTCTACACTCACCATACGAAACAGGCAGCGTTAAGCTGCTATTTTACGCTGGTATTCTGTGATAATTTAATTCTAGAACGTAAATTCAAAGCAGTAAATTTTTGAATTATTTCTTATTTATCATTATACTGTGTAGCAAAACACTCCATGACATAATCTTTACATATGAATATTTTAATAACAATAAGTAAGAAGTAACAAAGGTTTTATAAAGAGTATCCGTAGCATTATAAAAATAAACGTAGTGAAATAGAAAAGACGTAGCGTTGAAATGTGTAGGATGCGTATCGATCGTAGCAGTGCGCTACGACTCACAAGAAACTTGCTGCGTAGATTACTGTCCTCTTTCTTTATCAACAAAAATGTTTTTCAATTGTAATTGAAAAGTTTGCTTTCTCAAATTCAATTTATTCAATAAAAAATATACGTACTAATAGACAGACTTAACAACTCAATATAACAAAAACCTACGGTTGCCAAAGCGCCGTCCAAGCATGGCAACTATAGCATAATCCTCCCCATGAGGCAATCTATGTGCCTATATTCAACAATGGACTTTTATGGGCTATAATGGATAGATGGATGGATGGAGAAGATATAACTATGTCATCTTAAATATAAAATAATCAATAATAACTTTTATTATTAATAAATATTATCAATAACTCAAAAACTGTTGGTTTGACCTTGATCAACCACACAAGACCACACAAGAAGTACCAGCTTTCAAATAAAGAATCATCGAAATCGGTTTACCCAGTATAAAGTTATGAGGTAACACACATAAAAAAAAAAAAAAAAAACATACAGTCGAATTGGGTACCGTGTCCTTTTTGGAAGTCGGCAGAAAGATAAACCGTTATTGCAGTTTTTGAAAATACGAGTAAATTTGGCTTTTACTTTTATTTGTAACTATCCCAAATTGGATGTGATTTATGGGCAACAACGTTTTTGCCTACCGATCGACCCTTACGAATGTGTGCTTGCGCAGCAAAACCAGTTAAAATTATCATTATCACGCATTCTGTATTTAAAAGATAAATAGGATATAATGTTTTAGATTTTTTTAATTAATTTTTCTTCACCATTTACTTATATTACTTATTCTGAACCTTCTGTGCAAATTTGGCCGGTATATAATTGTCGGTACGTCAGTTAGTGATCACGTAACTTTTAAACTACTTGACCGATTAAAGTAAAAACACAATATTTTTTTTGTCGAGACGATGGTTCATATCTACAACAGGATACTATAGGTGCGCTGTAGTCAAGTAATTAACAAATTATATATTTATTAACCAAAATAACTCATATTTCTTCCGCCTACGATCTCTCTGTGGAATAGTTTATTACCGGCGATTTTTCCGGACCGAAACGACTTAGGGACCTTCAAGAAAAGGCGGCTTTTCATGGGCGGTGGTAGTCACTTACTATCAGGTGAGCCGTATGTTCGTTTGCCTCCTCTCCTTTAAAAAAAAAATCACAATAATATGTTAGATTGAATAGATGGCATTGTGGTAGAGTTATTAATAAATTTTATATTTATACTGCAAAAAACGCCGGAAATGGTGAAATAATGTCTGCCAACCGACTAGCAATATATACATAATGAGATGATGGTGAAGAAAAATTTATCATTCTCACTTCCGTAGGATTGAAATGTCAATGGAGATAATTTAGTGGTATTTGACGAAAATCAGGATAAATCAAAAACCCCCACTGATTGAGCATAAATCAAAAACCATCCAACTGTTTGAACTGATTTTGGATTCATAAATCTCGTCTCTGGATCTGGTTCTATTAATTAAACTGTATATTAGAAAATATCTGTGCATGCTTTAAGGCATTTTTTTTACATATTTAATCTAAATAACCGCCCTTAGTTATGGTTTATAATAGATAATTAAATAACAATGAAGTGCAAACACAATTCAGTTTATTAAGGCTGCAATAAAAGTATGTATAATGTAAAAAAATGGCTACATAAACTTGTTTACATAAGCAATCAATTAATCACTATGGCAACTGCTTAATCATAATCATAAATTCTTAATAATTGGAATGAAATTCCGTAACAAAATTATTGATCTACATTAAGTAAGAAAGGCAGGAATAGTAATGTAGAGAACAGAGCAACTTTAACAAAACAGTACAACTGGTATTTC